ATTTATATAATGATTAATAAAATAGTTTATTCTATTTTATTAAGCATTATAATATAATAGAAAGTTTAATTTTGCAAAGATATATATTATAGTGTCATTGTGAAATATAGTAATTTGAAGAATGATTACTAAGTATGAGTTTTTTTTGTAGTTATTGGTATTAAAAGATCTAGCACAACTTCCTAAAAGGTATTTTTTAAAAAATATAATTTTAACAAACCCAATTACTATTATAGCTAATATTAGTTAATTTTATTTAGATTATGTTCTTTTATGAAATAATTTGAGTTGTAATATATAGTATAAAAAATTATTGATATCTTAATTAGTTTTTTCAGATTTTAACTTATTTATGTTAATACAAACTGGTAAGTATATCTAAATTTTTTGTACTAAAACTTTTACTTAAGTTGTTCTAATTTTGTTTTTCATTATTTTAAATTTTTATATTATATATAATAATTACAAAATATTTGTTAGAAGGTGTAGCAACCTAGTAAAATGATCAGGTTGTCAATCTTCCAAGTAGTAGATTGGGTGTTCAAATTCTATTGACATCAAAAATTTGAATACTCACCTATGTAATATTTATATTATAGCAACTGTTACTAACAATTGGGTTAGGATACCTATAATGGTAGTTGTACCAGCATAACTGGCAGGTTATAAGACATCTGTGCAATGTTGAAGTTATATAAAAAAATGCAAACTGACAAATTGGATGGTGCAAACACTAGATAAGTTCTTGTAATCATATAAATCTATTGAAATTAGATAACAAGAAGTCCATTTGGAAGAATCTAAATAGAAAAGTAACTGGATCTTTGATGACTTTATTATAATGCTAATCTGATAAAATGAATACCAAGGTCTAGTATCTGGTCATAGTAGTTAAACAGGCAAAAACCTCTAGGTTAAAAGTCTTAGAGGTACTACCAACTAGATCATTATAATGAATTAGAGAAAAAGAATATTAAACTAATCTGATATACTGATGGACTGGTCATAGTCCTATATGAGCTATCTGAATTGGAAGTTTGGTAAAAAAGCAAAAGAAAAGACAGAAATATACTAAAGTACTAGGATTATACTATAAAGTAAATACTAAGGTCTAAGTGAACTCTATAAGAGCATAACAGTTTAATGGTTAACTCTGACTACAAGTATTGATTTTGTTATAATAATACTTAGATTAGCTGTAAAAATGTATATAAAAAACTTTGAAGAATTTATTTCAAGAATAAATTAGTCTTAAGGTTGAGATGATAATCTGAATATTTGAGTATGACACAGTGAGTTAACACAAGTTACAGGTTTAAAAGGTTTAAAGTAGAACATTCAAGCAGAGATGTTAGGTATAACAATTGGTAGAGAACCTTCAAGTAGATTTCTTAAATAAGTAATATAAAAAAGTTACATATGTAGTCAATTGTATACTCTTCTGTAATAGTTCATTGAATCACAATACTGATAAGTGATTAATAAAAGTCAAAAGATCAAAAAGATCACCTTAATTAAAAAAAAAAAATTATTTGTTATACTAACTATTTAAAATTCTTTATTTTTTTTTGTCAAAAATTATATAATCATGTACAACTTACTCTTATTATAGTGAAGTTCTTGGACTAGAAAAAAAAATTTTTCACTATAGTTTGTATTGAGAGGATGTTATATATACTTTACTATTTCAAGTTGAAGTTTAATAATTCTGAAATTCAAAATTTTTTTACTATTTTGAATCTTTATTATAACAAGAGTTTATTATAAGAGTAAGTTATATTTAGTTGTTTAAAATAAAAGTCTTTGCAATACAACTTATCCTTGTTATAGTGAAGCTCTTGAGCTGAGAAAAAAATCTTTGCTATAGCTTATATTGAGAGAATATTATATGTACTTTACTATATCAAGTTGGAGTTTAATAATTCAAAATTCAAAAATTCTTTACTATATCAAATTTTTACTATAGAGAGTTTACTATAATGAAAGTGAGTTATATATTGGTTAATTATACATAGCTTTTAGTTTTTAGTTTAATTACGTAGTGATTTTATTTATATATATGTTAATTAAAAAATTTTTTTTAATGAATTTAGTAATATTTTTTAATAATAAAAATTAGCCAATCATATTAATTTAAAGGGGGTGCATGGCCACGTGGATGCATGAAATTTTTAAACCCTATATATAAAATTTTTTTATTTATTCATGTCTTTTTTTCAATAATATTTATTAAATAAATTTATTATGAATACATTACATATATTGATGCAAAAAAAAATCGCTAATTGATTTTTCTATGCAATTTTATTGGTTGATCATCACAGGTAATCACGGGTAGATTTCTAAAAATTGTCCAATCAGACGAATGTCTTATGATGAATTCATCACATAGTTTGAAACGTCTCAAATAGTTTGGATAACATCGCTAGAATAGATACCATTTTATTTCCAACGATAAAGAGTGATAAAGTTAAATATCATGCAATCAAAATTTTCTTTTCTATTATATATATAGAGTTTAAATAAATTTTAATATTGCTATTATACCCCCTTGCCTTATCGTTATGTAGTGATTAATAGTACAATATAGGTTAATACAGTAACACAGTAAAAAATCTAGAGCATATGTCACTGGAGTACATCTAAAAAAAAACAAGAATATTATGCGGAGACATCATTGGTGACAATCACATTTTTTCTTTTATAAACTTAGCTGAAGCTAAGAGCTTTATAAATGCTGGTGAAACTGGTGGCTATATAAAATCTGATTGGCTACTATATTAAATTCCGCAAGAATTCACCAGCATCTATAATCCTATCTTATGTCAAGAAATTCTTGACCAATCCTCTAAAATTTTGATTGCCTGTTTTTCATGATAATTTCAATTTATCAAAAAAACATTGTAATTAACTGTTAAATATAACGAGCGATAAATCTATTAACTATCATCAATGACAGTCATCAATCAACTAGCAATGCAAATAATTAGTTCTGCTCAGCTTACGGCTAATTCGACCAAGCCTAGTTAATAAGCCAATCAATTTGAGGCGAGCTAAGATTTAAGCCTAGCTAAGCCACTGTTTATAAATAGTTGATGCAATAAATTGAGGAAAATTCTATCTTAACCCGGGTTACTTTAACCCAACACGTGACCTATAGTGAAGTTCCGGGTTATTTTGATTATTTCCCTATATTAATTGTTAAACAATTTTGAAAATGTCGATGAAAGATCTCGAAATTTCATCGGAATCGTGGTAGGCTGAACTGGAATTAACCAATTGATCACTCATTAAGTAAATATACCCAGCTGATAGGACGGCAAAGCTTATTACAAAATGTCGGGAGGGAAATTTGGTCCCTATACTCTTTTATTAGAAACACTAACCCTAAACCCTAACCTAACTCAAAAAAAAAAAAATTTAAAAATTCATATTAAAATAAATCAAAATTTCTAGATTTATTCCGATATAGTTACACAGTCGATAATAATTTTTTTATACGTTTTAAACTACTTTTAAAAGCTCGGGTAGCTTAACTTTCTATGAACCGAAATTAAATTTAACTATATCGGAATTATCTACGAATTTGAACGGTCGTTCCTGTTATTTCAACATCATACCCGACATATATTATATGATTAACTACCCGTACAGGGGGATCCCCAAAATTCCGGGTCGGAATACTTCGGAATCATGATCGGCAAGGCCGGAATTAACCAATTTTGCCCAAGATCACTAAAAGTTTTACTAATGAAACCATAGCTCACTCATTAAGTAAAGCTGCCCAGCTGATAATTTTGGCCCAGAAATGGCTAACTTGTATTACTAAATGCTAACTAAATGCCGGGGATCCCCCTGTATGAGTTACCCGAGAAGTCTAACAGTCGGGAATTTTTATTATTGGTCAACCGTCATGTGATAAACATTTATCGGTTCATGAATCCTAGAATCGAACCATTTCTAAGGGAAAACCTGTAAATCATCTCACTTAATGAATAAAATTATTTACAGGTTTTCCCTTTTCGTCACTCATTTCTAGATCCCCATATTATATGTTAAATGGCACAAGTTATCTGCCGATGAAACCGCCTTTCGTGTTCTAACAAAAAAGATTCCTTACAGAATTTTACTATATGGGAAATGGACTAAGAAAAGTAAACCACCGTTTGGCTCCATATATTCTAACTTAACCGCGCATTCTTTTTGATTTATCTGATTCATTAGCTACATCCTAACCGGTGACAAAAACTTTATAGATATATGTTGATATATTTAGAGACTAAAATCTTTTAATCCCATTCTTGAAGCCAATAAAACAACGCGCTGAAAAATAAACGAATAATGAATGCAACTAAAAAAATTCACTTAATTAACGCCCTAATAAATGATAACTTCCTAGATAACCGACAAGTAGATGAGTATATGCTCAAATAAATGACGGAAAACGTATTGAAGCAACGAAAAAAAAAAAACACTAAAGCAACAAAAATGAAAACCGATAATGTAAACCCAAACCCGGATTTTGTTTGCCGATGATCGGCCTCTGGTGCTAGACCGGAACATCGTTGATCTTTATAAATGTTGGCCAGTACAATATTTTTTTAAATATAATAAAATTTATAGTTAGACGGAAAAGTACATAACGAGTAGTCCGTCATACTTAGATATTGTTTCTAGGATAAATTGAAACGATCTTATCAATCAATCAATCATTTTTAAAATTCATCTCATGTGGTCATTCTATTTGTTGATAGGATGATTAGGATGATGTAACTCACATGTTATTATGTACCCTATTCTGATACAGAAATAAAAGCTCCTAACCAATCTCATTATATTTTTTTTCTGTTTTCCACATGCTACATTTGTAACTGTATACTCGTTAGATTGTGTTAAAGCTTCGCCTAAATATTTCTATCTTCCTTTACATACCTTTATACCCTTATATAAGAACGATTTAAGTACGATTTATAAGCTCTAAAAATTTAAGAATAATCAACATGTGGTCTTGCTTTAATAAAACATGCCCTTGCTTTCGTTTCCGCGGTAATTCACTATCACCGTTTGGCAATTTCTATGATGACGAAGATAATGTAGAGTTCGAGAACCTGCTGATTTATCAGGATCGTTCGTCATTGGCAAACCTTTTATCGGGTGTACCATTTTCACGCTCGAATTACCCACCTGCATATACGAGGAGAGCGAATATGACTGTACCGAATGAAGATGCTTTATTAGATGACGACGGCGAAAATTTGCAAACTCAAGACGCACAATTTCTACCTGATGAACAAATTGATAAATTCTCTGAACGGGTAAATATACTTTTATATAAGATTGATAATGAACAATTCAAATAAACAAAAAAACGATTCAGCGATTCTCGAAAATTTTCTGTACAATTAATATATAATCAAATGCGAGTAAAATATCCATGAGCACATCATACCTGACATTATATAATTGGTCTTTCATATTAGGTCAAATGCCATCCTGCCACCGATGCTCAGTTGGCAGCCGAAGAAGAAGAAGCTCGTCGTCATGAAGAGGAAGAGATTAGAAGAAAACGTGAGGCTGCCACACAAGCAGCTCTTGCTAAAGGATTAATAACACCTGAACAAGCCTCTGCTAATAGTAAAGACGTTTTCTTCACTATTGAAGATGAAGATGACAATGATAGTCGGGAATATACTGACTCATCTAGAACTATGATGCATGACAGTTCTTCGGCTGAATCATCAACTAAAAGTCGAGAGGTTACTACACCTCATGATGATGACTCACAAATTTCCTCTTTAAATAAACCACGTAACCCACACGAACGTCTCTTTGTACAGGATTTAAATATGGAAGATTATGATGATGTAACCGATTTTGAAGATCAGTAAGTATTAAAACCTTTGGTGGTGAGATAAATGGTGTCGTTTATTGATACAACTAAGAAGCATGACCTTGAATTATTATTATGGAAAAATTTAAATAGTGCATCAGTGCATTTAGTGCATCCTATTTTTACTGTCGTCGGGTTTGGGTTTGGGTCAGGTTAAGGTTAGGTTTAGAGTTAGTAAAGGAAGGTTTTATACCAAATTTTGCGAAAATTATTTTCTTGTTAGAATGCAAAAGATGGTTTCTTAGGCGAACTTTCAACTTACAATTTTATGAAGAATTTCTTATCAACGTCTTCGCGTTATACACGTGATCGTGCTATCTGATTGCCCAATCAATGAGATGCACCGAATGCGCCATGCACCAAACAAATTCCTATTATCATAAAAATATAAAAATAAATAAAGGAAAAATTTATGTTATGTTATATTTATAATTTTTATTTTATTTTATTATACGTATAGTTATTTTATTATATAATTTAACTAATCTTAATTTATTAATAAATTATATATGAAACTTTAAAATTCTAGATCGTCTCCACAGTTGAAGTAAAGAACATATATAACGTTAATATATTAAAGGCATTGATTTAGCAGTAAATCAAATTAACATGAAAAGATTTAAGAATTGCAATCTGAATTTAACGTGTTAAGTCTTATTTAGTCGTTAATAGAGTAATTTAGAACGGTGAGAATTATACTTAAATATTAAAACCAGATTATGTTGAAGTTATAATTTATACTAGAGTATGCTACTCTGGGTTAAATTTTATAGTACATACGTATATTGTAAAATATATATATTACTAAAATATAGTATATATTTTGAATATTTTAAATAATTTTATTTAATATTATGATTTTAATATGTACTATATATAATAATTAACAAAAAATTATTTATATTTTAATTTAAAGCAGTCTTAGTATTGGTTTTAAAATACAAATAATTTTATTTTAAATAAATTGTTAAAATTTTAAAAAATTTTTTATTAAATATTTTAAGTTTTATAAATTTTTTTTTAAATAAAAAAATAAATATTTTTTGGTTTAAAAATTTTTATATTATATAATTAAATTTTTAAATATAATTATTACTTAGGTAATGGGTATCATACTCATATACAATAAATCAAGGTTTCAGGTCTTTTTGTAACATCAAGTTGGTAGTATATTAGTATATGGTCGATGGTATACTCATAAAAAAACCTGCAGAAAGTATATGTAATTAAGTTACAGATCAAACAATTATAAAAATATAACTGAAAAAGAGGTATATAATAAACTACAAATTAATAATCTGAATCTTAATAAATTTAATTGTGTTTAATTAAATACCAGAAAGATATATAAGGTTGTATATATTAAATTAGTAGCAATAAGAGCAAAAAATTATTAGAATCAGTTAATCTGTAAGGAGAAAAGATTACTACAAGTAGTAGACAAATAGGTTGCTATTAGATTAAAAGTAATAGAAAATTAAAATATAACAAAATGATTACAGTTTTACTAGTAGTTTAGTAATGATAATTATAGTGTATAATAAAGATTATAAAATATATAGGCAAATGTAAATATAATGTTATCTTAGATGTTTAGAGCAAAAATAATCTAGTAGTACAAATATAATATAATTATATGTAATAGTAATACAAAAAGCTAATAAAATATATATTACAATTTGACATTATAAAAAAATATATATAATTATTTTTTATTTTTTTGTATTTATTTAAACAGTCTTGTTAGTTATTATTTTATTAAAATATTCAAAAAAACTCTTTTTATTAATTTTTTTTCCAAAAACAGATAAGACAAATTAGTGGCAATATACAAGAACCATTTTAGAAAACCTGTTTTGACATCTTAAAGAAAAAGAAAGAAGACAAAAAATAATATAGAATTTGCTAGAAGCATTCTTTTTTTTAGTTTAAAATTAAAATACAAAAAAAAAAATTTGGTTTTTTTTTCTTGAAACTTTTTAAAAATTTTTGAAAATTCATTAAAGTTCTTGTATTATTGATCAAATTAGATTACACAAAAACACATAAATAATAAAGTAAACAAACAATAAGATATGTTCTTTTATGGACAAGTAAACAGAAGTTTAAATTAAGAATTAGTATATAACTAAAACAATAATAATAAAAAATATATAATTCTTTTTTAGAAAAATCTAGAACAATACTATCAGTAGATATTAGTTGATTATCAATTTAAGCTTAGATTCAAAAATGAGTAAATTATACAAGCAGAAGTTATTTAAGTTTATTTGAAAATTAAGTAAAAAAAATATTAGTTACTTAGATAGCAATATATTGATCAAAGTAATTAAAAATAGAATACTACATAGTTTAAATTATATAGAACAAATAGTATATAATATAGCAATTAGTAATTCAAATAAGATTACAAAACAAGATTTGTTAATTTATGATCAAGTTCTGAAGATACTAAAGTAAATTAAAACTAAAAGTCTTATAAAAACATTAATTAAAAAATATACAATAAAAGCAAAAATAACACAATACAATTTAAGCTTAATTAACTATATAACCAATATAAGTAGTTTAGAAATATTAAAAGAAAAAAACAAAATAGAATTAGAAAAAGAAAATATAAATATCAAGATTTAGAAATTTAGTCAAAAAAATAAAAATAAAAAAAAATAACAAATAAAATAACAAAAAAAAATAGTTAAAATATTATTAATAATATTAAAGATCTTTCTATTATTGCAGAAATTAGCATATCTAATTAAAACCACTTATTAACAAATCTAAAAAAATTAATAGTTAGGATTGAAAAAGTTAAAACAAAAATAAAAAATCTAAAAAGTATCTAAAGCCAAAATATATAAAGTTAAGCTATAATACTTCTAATCTTTTTATTAAAAAAAGATGTTAAAAACTAAGAAATGAGTTTAAAAAAACAAATTATCTTAGCATTATTAAAGAATAGTCTTTGGTTATCACAAAACAGAATATGTAACAAAAATAACTTATTCAAAACAAAAATTCCAATATACAAAATTCTAGATGAAACAAAGAAATATAGAATAAATTATATAAAGTAAGTATTTAAAGATAACAAATATATAAAGTAGGTACTTAGAAATAACAAATATATTAAAATAATAAAAGGAAGCTTTCAGAATAGAAATAATTAAATTATGATAGACTTTGATTGTAAATTTAGCAGAAGAATAACAAATAAAAAAATTATGAGAAAAAAAAGTATTGATATAAACTTATTTTAATAAAGACAGAAAAACAAAAGAATCATTTTAATTATAATATAATTAAAAAAAAAACAAACTAAAAATTTAAAAAACATTATAGACCAATAAACAGTATTAAATTTATAGAAAATAGAATACAAACTCTATCTTGCAAAAGAACCAAATTAAACTAACTTATATTAAAAAAGAAAAGAAAAAATAAAAGATACAAGTTATCTTACTATTTAAAATCTACTAGCAAATATTAGTTATAAAAAAATTGAGTTTATGTATAAAAGTATTGAAAACACAAAAATTATAAAAATTAAAAAATTACAATTTAAAACTTTGGCAATAATTAAAACAACAAATAAAAGCTATATAAAAACTTTTTGATCACTTCTACTAAACAACAACAAATTGGTACAAGTAATATAAAATAAAGAAGATTATAAACAAAGAAATAAACATAATTATTTTATAGCAAAACTTTTAAAAATGTTTAAAGAAGCTTCTAAATTGCTTTTGTTAAAAAACTTAAAAAGTAAAAGAATAAAATTAGTATTTATGCCAACAAATAATAATGACAATCCAAAAGAATTTGTAATTTTTACTTTTGCAAATTAAGAGAATTTAAAATTAGTACAATCAAAACTAATATAATACAAAAATTACTTAATTTTTTTGGAAAGATTATAAAACACAAAAAGCAATAAAAAGAGGAAATAAACTATTAGACAAAAAAATCTAGATAAAAAAAAATAATAATAATAGTTAAGAAATAGAATTTAAATATAATACAAAAAAAAACATTAACTCTTTTTAATGATCCCTTACATCAACTTTTTTCAAAAGTCTGATCTATGAAAACTATATAGTTATTATATTTAAATATAACAAAATTCTAGTTTGGAGTAACTAGGAAGACTATTCACTGCATGTTTGGTTATAACTAAAAAGAGTTGAAAAAGACTTGAACTCTTGTAAGCGAAGTCCTTTAGTAAAATATGAGTACTATCAAGCAAAAAAGTAGTAGATAAGCTCTGGTGCTTTGTTAAGTGCTATAAGGACTTAGGCCTAAATAGTTACTTGTTTTAACATAATATTCTATATAGCATAACTCTTATAACTCCTTCTCAAGTTGGTTTTTCTTTCTACTCTCACTATTGGATTTTTCTCTCGAAATTTTTACCAAAAAGTGGAAAATCTGGCATACCCTCTCCAAAGGATCAACTCTGTTTATTTTTCCAAATCGGTAATGTTAATCATGAGAAAATTATGAGATGAGTATCAGACCTATGATAGATGATATATGTTAAACTCAAGAAGAAAATAAAAACTTCAACTATTTTCTTCATATGACAAATGAAATATATTATAATACAGAGATAAAGTAAATGTGAAGTATTCTTTATTTAGTACTATATAAAATTTTTTAAAGCCAAGCATAGGCAAAAATAGTGCCTTCATGTTTCTTTTTGTTCTTTTTCTTTGACATTTTTTTTTTTATCTTTTCTTTTTTTTTTTTAGTTTACATTTAGGTTTTGTAGTTAGTTCCTCCCTTTTTTTTTTTATTTCCTTTTTAGTTTTTTTTTTTTATATCTTGTTATTCTTTAGACAAGGATTATAGAATCCTTTTACTTGATAATTAAAAGAGAAGAAAAAATGAATCAAAGATAAAGCCAGAAAGACAATTTTGAGACTTGTCATGAAAGGGAGAAGACTTTTCATTATGGACTTTAAATAGTTAGGCAAGCAAGTTACTTCTGTTTGAAGTAATGCAGCAGATTGCATTTAGGCATTATTAGGATGACCAGATGATGCTAGACTTAGTTGTTAGGTACACCTATGTAATTGCAATAGTAATTTTATGAATCTTAATAAAGTACTAGTATGACTGCCTATAAAATAAAAAAAATATATATATAATACAAAAAATATAGACAAGAATTTAATAATTAAGCAAAAAAATAAAAACAAAATTACTAAAAAAGAAGAAAAGGCTATTAACTAAAAACTTACTATTAAAAATTATTAATAAACTAAATAAACTTAAAGTATAATATGAAGCTAAGTTTAAGTTAACAAGATCTAGTCTTGCAAATTGTATCTGAAAGTTACTAAAATTGAACTAATAATAACAAATATAGAGTTAAGCTTCTTATTATAAAACAAAGAAAAGAAACTAAAATACTACTAAAAAACACTTTATATTTGAATAAAGAAATAGATAATAATGAAAGTGAACTATTAAAGATAAAAAATATATATTAAAATGAAAGAATTAAGTTAAATCTGACAGTTTATAATATTAATAGATTTAAAACAAATAGCCAAAAGATAGAAGCACTTTATAAATAGATAATTAAAAATGAACTAAATATAATAGATCTAGCAAAAACAAATATTTTAGCCAAAGAAGGTTTTTTTCTAAAAAATAATTTAAAAGAATACAAAAACATTTAGTCAAATGTAAGTCCAAACAAGAAGAAAGACTCAGAAATAAAATTACTAATTAATAAAAAATAAGAAAAACATTTAGACCAAATAGAGAAAACAAATGAATATATAATTTTTGCTAACTTTTTCTTCAAACAAATTGAAATTATAATTATAATAACCTACTTACTACCAAATAACAAAAAAGAAAAAAAAAACAATTCAGAGTTTAATAATTGACAAATATGTTAAAAGATCATCAAGAACTCAAATAATAGTTATAAAAGATTTTATTACAATAGTAAATGTAAATCTAAATAGACCATTAAACCAAAAAAAAAAGCAAAACAAAACCTATTACTTGGCTAGTTAGAAAAACAAAAGTTTAGTGATGCATTTAAATTAATTAACCCAAATGCAAGAGAGTTTTTATAGTTTAGATATGAATCTAAATCAAGAATAAATTATATATAAGTTACTGAAAAACTAACAGATAATCTTTATGAAACTGAAATTTAAAAAATGAATATTTGCACAAATAGCCATCAGTATAGAAGTGAAGTTTTTGTTGTTTAGTATTGTAATCAGCAATTTGTTAAAGTTTATAAGTTAGTATACAGAATTCAAAGATAGTTGGGATTGAGTATATTGAAATAATAATGTTAAGTAAGCTTGAAGTTTAAGTAGAATATCTAAGTTTTAGTAAACTTTAAAAAAATAAAAATAGTATAATATAATAGTTAAACAAATAACCTCAATAACAGCAAGTATTAGGTAACTATAGCATGTTGCATAAAACTAGATCAGTATATATAGAACATAAAAGCTCTAGTAAGTTTTCTATTAAAGATAAACTAGTTCTAAGAGTACTAATAAAGGATTGGAAACTTTAACAAGATGGTGCTCTAAAAATGTTCTTGTAATACAGAATAGATTGCATATACAAAGAGTTTAAATAGACAAAATCTTTAGCTGGCTTGCAAGTATAATATCTAATATAAAACTAATATAGTAATATATAAGTGAACTACTTAAATTAAGCACCAAAAGTGCATATATAACTAGTTGTAATCTCTAATATAAGAGAGCTTCTGATGGTACTTATGTTCTATATTTAAATAAAAATTATTCTCCAAAGATAAAAACTTTAACTATAAAAAAACAAATAAAAAAACAAATAAAAATAATTTAATTGATGATCCACCAATTATCTGAAGAAATTTTCATATGATAATGTGATGCAGATCATATATATATAAAGCACGAATTGAAATTTTGAGGTTATAATTAAAATTGTCAAATTTAAATAAATTTTTATAAAAACATAGTACAATCAATAAAGCAGTACTACAAGGGCCTAATATCAAAACCGTGAACTCTAATATGTTTTCTGTGAAAAGTTTACTTTAGATGAATGCCAGATTTACTAAATAGAGTTAAACAAATATTAATGCATAAGATCCACCAATAGACGTTTAAATTTTGGCTACATACTCGACTAGATTTCAAATATTTTGAAAAGAAGCCTTCCATACTATTCATGTCAGAACATTAGAAGCTTTCGGTAAAATAAAAACTATTGGTGAAGGATCTCAATAGCTTATTAAATAAAAAGAGTCTCGTATATCAAGATTTCTTCTAAAAATGAATTTAACATTTTAATAATTTACTGTTTTAGATCTTTTTATTACAGTAATCTCTGGGTAAAATACCTATGAAACTGAACAGCTATTTTTAAAGCCAAGCCACATACTACAAATAAGGAATGTGAATGCTTTCTAGTTTGCAATAAAGTTTCTCTGCCACACAACATAGCCAGGTGTTTTATGAGTTTTTTGGTTAGGTATTTTGTTTTAGACCCTGGTTTTTTAATCAGTACTGTATGGTATACTTTCTAGTTCGCGATTGAAGTCTGTCACCATACAATGTACCTAGGTGTTCTAGGAGTTTTTTGTTAAGTATTTTTGTTTCAGACCCAGGCCTTTTAATCAATACTGTACAGTATATAAATTTTTTGACTTTTTTGAAAAAGAGAACATGGAATATGAATTTTAATAGAAATCTTTTTTATTTTTAGTTAAAAATAACTAATAAAAGAGAGTTTATAAACAGAAGTAAAAAAAGGAAATTTTATGCATAAAAATTTATGTTAGATAAAAATATATTGTCTAATATGACAATTGAAAATTTTATTTTTAGATAAGAAAATATTTATTCTAATAATTCATGCTAACTCAAATCTCAGCTTATTGCTTAAAAGCATGAGTGTATAAACTTATCTAATTTTGAATTGTGGTAATTTTTGGAATATCTTTTTTTTCTATTTCACCAATTTCAACATATTTAGATAGCTCATCGTGCATAGCTTGTGCACTCATTTTTTTCATTTTTTCTGTTTTCTCTTAAAAAGAAAAGTTCTAACATGGCTTTTATATTTTTTTTTATTCTATTTCCTCCTCTATTGCCCAATTTTTGGCTGCCTTTTAGTGCCTACCCCTTATGTAATGGAAATTCTTTATCTATCAAACTGAAAAGTCAATTAGCAAATAAAATAAATACTCATTAGATTTTTTACATCTACATATCTTAGAGCCTTGACTATGACCACAGGAACTAACAATTGATTTGGGTATTAAATAAAAGGTAGAAAACATAGCATGGATGTATATAAAGTTATTGTTACTTACTATTATCTATTTTATTTTTTTCTTTATCTTGATCCAAGCTAATGTGATCTTTAATTTTTAAATAATTAGAACTTATTAGCATATAAAAATTAATATTATATAGATACTTTTATACCTTCTTCATCTTCTTCATTTTTATCTAAAGTAAGTTATATATATTAATTTAGTTTAAATTTGAGAATTTGGTTAACAATAATATAACACTTACTAAACTCTGTATTGAATGAAATTGTTCACATAGATTCTGGTACAGTATGCATCGATTGAGTTGGTTGCGGCCATTGAAGTGGAATATTCCAGAGTTGATTTAAATATGCAAGGGAAAAATTATTCCACTCTCCAATATAAGGCAATGAACATGCACGAATATACCCGCTATATCTACCTTTCACAGGCTATTCCCAAAAAAATAGTTTTGAAATTCCTTTAATTGTCTTGATTTGATTTTTGATTTTATTTTTTCATTAATATTTTCCTTTATAGCAATATAATCATCATAATTTGGTCTATATTTGCTACAGAAGTTCTTGCTAAATCTTTAACTGCCTTACAAATATCATCACCCGTTTCTATATTGTATCCAATTCTTAAGTATCATTTTATGGCATGTGTTATCTTTAAAAGGTGAATATGTCAGATTATATAATTGAAAGCAGAGGTGTCAAACAAATATTATAAAATATTTCTATTAACTTGAGTTTATAATTTAATCAGTGACTATATAGAGATTATTTGTAATAGTAGGTTTTTTTCAGTGAACAAGAGAAAAAAGGAATAATAAGCAAGATAATCATGAAGAACCTTCATGATTAGTGCTCCACAAAATCAAATCAAAATTTGAATTTGTAGAGTAATATTCATGATTATCTTTCTAATTAAATTTTATGAATTTGTCATCACCTCTGCTTAAAAAAGAAGAAAAGGAAAATACTAACTGCTGCATAATGTGAATCAACAGTTGTTTTTGCCTCACTAGGCTCTAGAAACAACCAGCTTCGAACTTCAATATCATATCATTCATGCCAGTATCCAACTATAGCCATTAATTCTGAGTTATGGTAATAAGGCTCGTTATCAGATATTACCTTTATCTATTTGGGTTTTCTATCCAATTTCTCAAAAACAACATCAAACGATGATGCTGTAAACCAAGCAACTTGCTTGGTATCCATTGACCAGTGGTCAAATGCTTGAATATCTATTTCAGTTTCATCTTTTTTAGTGAAAACTAAAATAGTATATAAAGTCTAACCATGTTTCCTATAGAAATCTTCTTTTGGTTCACGTGCAGTTTGAGGTAATATACACATTTTATAATCTGTGATAAAAAGCACACCATTGAGATCAAGCTTGGCTAATGTCACTTTGAATTGAACATTCAAATACACTTTTTGCATTTGATGAGAAAGGTAATATAATAATTGTTCTTTGTACTCTGTTATTTGATCTCTGTATTCTTTTACTTGTTCATAATTATCCGAAGGTGCTGATTTATACATAAAGTCCAGAAAATTGAACAATTGATCGCAATCAGGATATTTTGTTTCATAGCTATTAACGCATTTACCAAAAGCGTAAGTTAAGCAATGGGAAATACACAGATCATGCTCAATTTTACTATCTACTTTAACTTTCAATTCTCTTTCATAACTCTGTTTCATATGTTGCTTTAGTTTTTCGAGACATTCTAAAAGCAAGAACTAATAAGACCATGTAATAAAGTAATTATGTATTAGAAATGACATAATAATAATTATTTCGAACTTAACATTAATATATAGAGGAAGGTCAATAGAATACAGACAAATTTTTTCTAAGTAAAATTTTTTTAAACTTTAAATTAAAATATCTTAACAATTATCAAACCAAATTTAATAATTTTTTTTTCATATTGATTTGATATAGTTATAGATCAAAATAAAAAAAAATATATTAAATTTTGGTTTAATAATTGCTGAAATATTTTAATTTAAAGTTTAAAAAAATTATACTAAAAATGATTTGCCTGTTTTCTATTGACTTCCCCTTATATATAAAAACTTTTCTAACCCTAACCCAAAGTGAGCTAACTCTAATATTAATGAAACTGACTATATTATTTTTATGTCTAAAATGATTCTATATAAAGTTTTCAAGATTATTGAAAGTCTCAAATCCATAATCATTGCAGGTCATACATAGCTCACCAAGGTCTTCATGATACTTAAGGTTGGTACAATTATTTAGTCACACCATGAAAGCAGTTCTTTTCATGCCATTTGGATAAGTTTCATTAAACTTATCTCATAAATTACTCTTTTGGTTACATAAATATAGAATCAGCAATCCTGTTGTCAAATCTACATGGTATGAGCTCATTGTAACATTGTTTCTGTCTTGAAAAAATGACAAGAACTGATTTTTTTTAACATTAGACAATCGTTGAACAGTTTTTTTGGGTTTTTGCAAGGGTGGTATGCCTAGGCCATAAAGTCGAGCATGCTTTCTGGCTTTATTTATAGTTTCCGACCCAACCTAATAGCAAAAATGTTATGTTATAATTAATAACTATAAAAAACTGTCAAATCAGATTCATCTGAAATTGTCGAAATCTAAGACTTTTGTGTAAAAAAGTTGAAGTATTGTTGGCACATAAAATACATTAATAAAAAAACTGTCTAGTTTCGGAAAACTCAATACGTTGTTTTGAACTTTAAAAATTTATCTAAAGCTAAAATCTTAAAAATATTCGATTTTTAAATGAAAAGGGTTTGTTAAACTATTATATTACAATTACTTACACTCAATTCTTTTATGAGAATATGGTACTTAAACTTTAGGGCAATTATTGAAAGGATACGAACTTTATTATCTGGCCCTTTTTTGTTTGAAATCATTGCATCCTTAAAGCTATTCCCAAATCTTGTATTTTGCGAATTTGGTTGCAGAACTGGTAAAGGTGTTAACGTATTTTTATTTAATTGTATAATGTTACTTTCATATAGGTTTTTAAATAATTCTCTATTAGCAGTAGGGTTTAATGCTTTGCCCTAGAATTCTATAGAAGATTCTTTTTTTGAAAAAGGCATTACATTTTTACACCCACAGGCAACAAACATTGCTTGCTATGCTCATAGTTCTTTATCTTGAAATTGATATTCAAATGGGTAAATGCTTTGCAACATAAGTGGAAACTGAATAACGAAACTATCTTGCTTATGCCAATTAAGAAAAAGGTGTTGCCAATTAATCATCAAATTGGAAATCTTGCAAGATTTTATATGACGAGAAAATATTAATTCTAGCAATTGTAAATTCTTTTAATCATTAACAGTACACGTTGGTGATTCATTTCTCAACTTATTTAAATGCTTATGAACCGATGCATCTGTAATTCCAAAAAGGTATGATCCAGTATATTTCTGAAGAATCTTTACATTTTTCTAAACATCATCTGAGGTTTCTTCTTTAACTGTTTTAACACATATTGATTTTAAATAAGTTTCTAAAATACATTCACTTTCTTCAATTGTTAATACAAAAAGATGCAATTTACTATGATATTGTGTAGTAAAAGAAGAAACAAATCTGAAACTAACCTCATGAAATCTATTTTCTTCTAGGTCACCTACATTAATTATTACTATAGGAAGTTTTTTTATATAAACGAATATGCGAATGAATATGGGAAAAAATAATATATCAGTGATTAATTAGTTGATAATATTTATATTATTGAATCCTATTACAGCAGTACCAGAGTATGCTGTTTTTGTTTTAAAAATTTCTTGATA